CGTTGGTACTTGTCGCAACATAGGGTTGACCCTGATTGGCACCACTCTTGCTCAATCCCTCGCCACCGCTGTGACGTCAAAGTGACGTCACCTGCACGCGCTCGCGTCCGCGCCGCCGGTGAGCTGGTTCCGTGGAGCCTTACACACCTCTTCTCAACGTCCCCCTAATGATAAGTTCAAAGGGGACTAGGGGAGAGAGGGGAGAGGTTGTTGGCTGTATGGGCTCCGCATAATGATGCCCAACAAGCGCCTGGATTCGTCGCGCTACCGCCGAATGCGGTAGCGCGACGAATCCAGGCGCTTCGCGGAAACGCGGAAAGCGCGAATTGCGCCACAATGAGTGAAAGCGCATGGATCTGCCGCGTGGCCAAGCTTCGCAGCGATCGCGTACATGCGGAGTACGCAAGGAGCGCGGGAAGCGCAGAATCTCCAAAAGGATTGAGTGGGGTAGGCACAACTGCCAGATGGGGTAGTGGTTCGCAAAGAAAGCGACTTTTTCGCGTTCTACAGCGCGAAACATTTTTCGCTGCGAGAACCCCATGTCTACCCACGATCAAAGGTGGACCAGGGGTCCCTACAGCGAAAAATGTTTTGCGCTCCGAAAAAGTCGCTTTCTGCCAAGCGAACACACCCGCCAATCCCTAGAGCTAAGCCAAAAAAGGGGAGGAACTTTGGAGAAAATGAAAACTGTTTACGCACCCTGAAATCTCTCCCGACTCCTAAGACTTACTTATGGTTAGTCCTGAAACATCAAAAAACGTTGGCCATGGTTCTAAATGCCTTGCCGCCATATCGCTCTCCCCCTTCTTCCCGTCTTCAGGTGTAGCACATTGATATGATTCTGCATGCTGCGTGTTCAGTGTTCTACGCATTCTACAGTAGCATGGCGTGTGAATGCTGCCATAGTTAGTGATTTTGCAGCGTGGAAGGGGCATTTCAACAGAAATGCTTCCTTTCTCCATGAGCCTCCATAAGGCCGCGTTCATAGTTCGCGACTCCGGAGATTAGGATAGTACGCGACAATGAAAAACATATGTATTGACGGGGAGATTAGGATAGTAGTAGAGTAGGAGATTGCGCTGACAAGATTAGATACGTATCGATTGAAATCGCCGGAGAGTAGTAGATTGCGATATTACGATAGTAGGATAGTAGTAGAGTAGGAGATTAGGATAGTAGTAGATTAGGATAGTGCGCTGACAAGATTAGATATGTATTGATCTATTCGCTTGAAGTCGCCCAATCTACTACTCTCCAGCGATTTCAATCGATACGTATCCAATCTTGTCAGCGCAATCTCCTACTCTACTACTATCCTAATATCCTGTCGCCTACTATCCTAATCTCCCGAGTCGCGAACTATGAACGCGGCCTAATGAACACTGCTTTATGGGCAGAATGCCTTTTTTGAGTAGCTTCCCTGAATGGCAGTTTTTTTTTGTTCTAGTACTATTCGCTGGCCTTGGCGACGACAGGCTATAGTGCGCTACGGCGTTATGGTGTGCAACATTTGCATTCAACAGAAAACAGTGCTCAATCAAGAAACCATAGAGCACAGAAATGCTCGATGGCGCGCACTACCGCACTGAGGTGGAACTACGTCAGGCTGGTGTCAGAGTCCGCGATCCGTCGCAGGTTTCGCTGATTTTCGCGATTTGCGCGCGATTTGCGCGATTCACGCGACGGGTCACGGAAATCACAAGTGCCCGATCAATACTGCAAGGTGTTCTCCAATCCTGCCGCCACTTCTGCTTGATGGTTATGGTTTAATGGAGACTGCTCATGATTCCACTTGTTTCATATCCAGTGTTTCAATTGTTCAAATGGGGCACTTGCAATTTTTGTGATTGGTTTGGTTTGATTCCTGAAAAAAATAGGAACGATTCAAGAGCATTTCAATGAACTAATAGACATTGAACATGAAACAAGTAGAACCACAAACATTCGTCTTCCAATCTTTACTGCCAAGCAGAATTCGCAGCAGGATTAAACAACACCTCGCAGTATTCATCGGGCACTTCCAACTCCTGTGATCCATCGCAGGTTTCGCGAAAATCGCGAAAATCGCGAAACCTGCGGCGGATCGCGGACTCTGACACCAGCCTAGAGAGCTGCACCCGTTAGTAGAAGTTGTTGCGCACACTATTCTCAAACATGAATTTCGCGATCTATTGGCGCGACCGAATGGCACGATTGAGTCGAGCAGCTGGGTCGCCGACTATGAATGCGATAATTGGAAAAGCGTTATGATGAACTAAAAACTGAAACTAAACCTGCAATGCTACAGATGCGTTTGCTGCAAGGTCATGCATTGCGGTCCCGCAACGAAATCGTTGAACTGCAAGGGGCGCGAAGTCGCGTCACGCAAACACTTCCATAAAGAGATTCCAAACAAGGGCCCTTACACGGATCAAAAACGAATAGCGCTCTAGAAATTATGAGGACAGAATGTGTCTAAGAATGAGATTCAACAAAGATTCGAATGTGTAGCTGGATTTTTACCCAGGCACGTTGAGCGCTGGGCATGTACAAACGTGTAAGGTTTGTAGTTCTTTTACAGTTGGCGCTCTCGAAATCGGTGCGAAGGATAAAATTTGGGGGTGCATTTGGAAGCTGCGCACGGATTGCCGAACGATCTGCTCAGTTTTATGAGGTACATGAAAGCCAAATTCATTCTCGGTGCATGGCAGCCAGCACAGACAGCTTCGCCAGTCGCAAGAAAAAGGTGCGGTTTGGGACGCCACAAGGTACCGCGCGCTCGGCGCTTACCATGGGGAGTTCAGGGCAGCATTTTTTCAAAATGGTTTCTAATGTTGTAGAGGCTCATGTGAGGAACACAGAACCATGGTCCATTTTTCCTGAACGCCCCAGGAATGTCAAAACAGCGGGGAAGAAATGGTCCAAAGTTCGATCCTCCGTGATGACAAATTTTTGCAATTTATGTTGGCGCCTCCAAATTGCCGCAAAACACGACAATGACATCTATTCTCGACGATGGCATTTGGCGGCAATCTGGGGCGCCAAACTATATTGCAAAAATTAGTCATCACCGGGGATCGAACTTTGGACCATTTTTTCAGCACTACTGCTTTGACATTCCTGAAGGTGTTCAGCAAATTATTTATATAGGGTATGATTATGGCTTCGGTGTTCCTTCCGCATGACGCTTCTCTCTCGGAGCTGGAGACATGCGACTTCTCTAGGACTTGAGCCGTTACAGACGTTCGTGAGGACACTCCGTCCACTTTTTGGCATATGTGCCTCGCCCTGACCATAGCAGTTGAGGGTGCACCCTTCACCCACCTCTATCCACCTTTTTCCCGGTCCCGGGGACTTCTTCGAACCGAGTTATGAATTTTCGTCGCAAACTCCGTCCTACTTTAGTCACGCTCCCACCCACCAATAGCAGTTGGGCTCTTACTCCTTCACGTACATCTCTATCCACCTTTTTTCCGACTCACTAAGACTTTTCCGGCCCGAAATTATGAGGACTTGTGGGAAACGCTGTACACTTCAGAGCGCGCTCCGCCCCTTGTGGGCAGGCCTCCGCCCGACGTTTATCCTATGCTGGGATTACCTTAGACATTGCTTCCCTGCACCAATTTGTTTTCTGCTATGTAGGCCTTCTCCCAAATCAGTTTTTATTAAGCACTGCTTAACTGAGAACGCCCCGCCCACCGGGGGTGGGTCTCCCTAATTCGATGTGACTTACCAATGCACACCTTTACCCACTTTTTGCCCAGTTTCGAGGTTGTTTTGTCACTGAAATCGAAATCTTGGTCGTCAGTACAGTTCATTTCGATGCACGCCACGCCCACTGTGGGCGGGGCTCCGCTTAGCTGATGTGTGTTTTGTACTTCGCGAGACCTTGCCCACCCATCCCACACTTGACCCGGTCCCTCCAGGCGGATCCCAGGAGCTAGGGAATTTCGTACAGAAGCTTGGTCCAAGTGGCGCTCGATGACCGGCGTTCTCTGCGATAAGAAAATACCAGAGCGACTGAAATCTAAGATCTACAGAACCGTCGTCCGACCAGTCGCCATTTACGGAGCAGAGTGCTGGCCCGTGACTAAAGAGGTTGAGGCTCGTCTCAGTGTAATGGAGACAAAAATGCTGCGCTGGACTGCCGGGTCACGCGTTTGGACCACATTCGCAACGATACCATCAGAAAGCGGTTCGGTGTGGCTCCCATCGCTGATAAGATGCGCGAAGCTCGCCTGAGGTGGTACGGTCACGTCCTTCGCGCTAATGATGAGTGTCCGTAAGATCGGTCTAGACTTTAACGTGCCAGGAAAGCGGCCAAGAGGACGCCCGAAGCAACGATGGCTTGATACGTTGCATGAGGACTTGAAATTAGTTGGAGTTGGCCTTCATCCCCGATCAGGCACATAATCGGGAAAAGTGGCGTCGTAATACCAGGAAAGTGTGACACGCCACAGGGTGGACAAACGTTAAAGAATAAGAAGGGAAGATTCTGTCGAACTGGTTTCGAATCGAACTTTCTAAATATTTCGATTGTGAAGTTGTTCGGCTCACTTTTTCCAGTGCGATTACGAGGTTGCCTTCAACGCTACACAAAGATAGCCATTTTAGTGCAACAGAGTAACACTCGATCTTTCTGCTTCTTCCTCGTATTGATCAAGCTCTTCTTTAGCCTACATTTTCTCCTTTCAGCTTCCAAAAGGTTATATTTGAATTGTTCAACTATCCCTGGAGCAGAATCGCGCTCGTCGTGTTCCAGAAGAGCTGCTCGAATCTCTGCGCAGGAACTCATGTATTGCTTAGCATCGCTTACCTTTTGTCTATATCCGATATTCTTTTAGGCTTTCGAAAAGAATTCCCCCAAGATATTGATGCCTGCGAAACGCTTCACTCCTTCATGGGCGGCTAAGTGGCTTTCAACCAATGTGGTTCTTCACTGCACAAGATATCAACCACAGTCGCTGAGAAAAGTAACAGATTTATTCAGCTGTATTTTTCATCTGAGAAGCTCTGCTTCCTCAGTTTTGGTCTTCCGCAGTCCCGGTAGCTGTCCCCCTGAAAAAGATGTTTCATCGGTAGTAAGTGCTTGCTATAACGTGCTATAATGCCGTGCTATAATGCTTTTGAGACCATGAAAATCACTCATATCTCATACAGTTCCAACATGTGAGCTCTCACACGTACATAACTGCTGAGGACTTCAATAGGATGAGAGTTGAAAAGTCCCGAGAACAATGAAGATTGTATAATCACAAGAACATTGGAAAACAGTAACTGAATATCAATGCAGCAAGCATACGGTGATATACGCGGGCCCTAATCTATGAAGACATGCACACTAATGGGATAGAGGAACTAGGCCCAAAGAAGAAGTGGTGAGACGTGATCAAGAAGGACCTAAGTGAAATCATGGCCACAGCAGAGGACGCCCTGGACAGATTAAAGTGGCGACGACTGACAAAGACAGCGGACCCTGCGACTGCGCGGGACTAACGCTAGGGAGAAGAAGAAGAAGGTGCCATGTTAGCAGCGCAAGTAGGCCACGCATTCCGAATCGGAGCAGAACTACATGCTCGTACCTTATCCATTTTATAACGTTGCCGCTTGAGCTTTAGTTGTTCTCCGACTTGGATTCGTATTATGTCCATTGTTCCATCTTCATCTATCACCAGAGACGCACCTGAGAATTGTTTATGAGGTGCATCAACACAAACCATTCAAATATTTAGACTTGGCTCACCCATGCTGCCAACATTATCTTGAACTCTGTAACCTGGGCTAGAGAAGATCGTTATTAGATATGGTCCAACTCTTTCATATCCACTCATTGGAGGCTGATGAGCACGAACAATTAGTGAGAGCTGAAAGGAAAGGGGTTATTCTTTTGGGAAACCAAAAAGATGAAGGAAAAAACGAAATCATCAATGTTGGAGAATTCCTTCCAGAAATTCCACTCACTCATATTCTATGTATTTATTACCTCAGCTCTGAGGGACGTACATGTATTCAACTCAGGATTAGCCGAGTAGAATAGTTATTCTCCAAGTAAGGTGTATCGGTTTGCAAGCCTAAAGGTTGTGCTAATTGCCGGATTGGGAGTGCGTGGCAAGAGAGAACGGGCTCGTGGTATGAGCCTGTGAACGCTCACTAGGCCTTGGCCGGCCCACAGTTGCAGTGATCAAATGTTTCGGTCTCTCTCCACTCCTTGATCCTCCTTCCCAAAATATGCTGCTCTCTATTCATTTTCCATGCCCCTTTCGCGAGCTCGTCCATAATCAGAGCGCGAGGATAGTCCATTTGAGAAAATCTGTTTCATTCGCAGTCGCCACTAGCGGGTTCTCAGCGCCTCTTCACAACCCTTAACATGTTTGTACGAACATCGCTACCCTTGCTAGAGAAATGTTACCCTCACAAAAGAGTCTATTTGTTTCCCATTTTTTCCAAAAAAATCTCGTCCGTTCGTCAAACTGAGTGTTCGTTTCTCACAAGCACATATGAGAAAGGCTTCTTGGGCTGAGCGGGGGAGGGGGGAGGGCGGGGGGGGTAGGGGTGCGAACAATCCTAGGTGCGTCAATCCTTCAGTGTTATAGCAAATCATTGTGGGTGTTCTATAGGTCTGAGCGCTTATGTGGCTGAGCGATGAGTGCTTGGCAATACAGCGAAGGACGTACGTTAATGTATCGTGGGGTCAGTGCGCTTGCATCAGCCAATTATTCAATCTCTGTGGAACTGAAGGGTGTCATCTTATTGACATGTAGGGTTACCCCACCCATCCGAACGGTGATACTCATGTTCCAGAGAATACGAGGGCAAATGTAGGTCCTCGAATACTAGTCTGATTTAAGAGAAGAACCAAATGCGCGACGCATGTAAGAGAGCTTGAGCTTCAGCAAGCGGTTCAATTTTGTTTTTTTTTCTGTTTACAGAAAATACCTTGCAAAAAGATACCTCATTCCTTTTAACAAATCTCTTGATTTGGATTGGCCCGAAGAGGTAACCGAGACCTCCCCCTGTCGGATCTCGCAGTGTGTTGGGCTGAAATGATACTCTCTTACGGTTTTAGTAGACATTATTTTATACTAATCATAAGAGATGCCCTGATGACCTGTTCAAGGACGCGATCATACCTATCTACTTCAAAGCAAAAATTCACCAATTAAAGTACTCTTGCGGGGCATTTCTGAGGCATCCCTTCACCCTTTTTGTTCTTATGGGGGCGCTTGCTATAATACCGCGGAGTACCCAACAGGAGGCCCGTCATGCAGCGAGGAGGCAATGAAGCAGACGGGTAAGCGGACGAGTCGCAGCGTGAATTGCAGTGATTCCTCATCAGGATAAGTAGGTTTTAGTGTAGTACGCCCACTCCTTCAGTACTGGCTGCGACTCGTCCGCTGACCCGTCTACGTCTCGCTGCGCGATGGTCCTCCTGTCGGGTACCCGGCCGTCAACGTCTCCACTGGTCAAGGCACCGGGCAACTGTCCCAAGTCAGTCGCCGCACACGCAGCTTGCGACCACTGTGCGAATCGCGCTTCTGGTGACCTTTCGTGCCGGAGATCCCTTTTCCAGACCCGCGTCTTCACTGAAATCGATTCACAGCTACCAGCATCCCCTTGGAAATCGAGTGTGATTTGACCTTTTAACAAACCAGTATTATTCTCACCTCATATGTCCACTTACACACATGCGGATCGGACCACAAAATATCAATATGCGTTCCTGGCTTACTGTCCTTTGTGAGTGGTCTTTGTAAAGCTGCTATGTCAGCAACGGTCTGTATTCGAGGTGAGAGTCCACCGTGCATGCAAATGATCTGGTTGCTGATTAGACATGCTATTGGCATGACACTGAAATGAAGCAATAAATAGTCACTATTAATAATTATTCGCCAGTTCCAGAGACATTCGATGAATCCAGGTAAGCTTACCCCTTAAGAGCATATCAGAGCTACCCAATAAGGTAGAGGATTTGCCGATTCGCGTTTCAAAAGGGCGTCGTAAGAACGTGAAAAGCCACATCAAGTTTGCTTCTGACCTGTGCTCCTTTAGCTTAGAGTGCGACAGCCTGCGCACAAGTGTTTTTGCTGACGCCCTCGCTCTTCTACTGTGCTAGGGAGGGAAAGAATGATCCTATCGTGTTCAGCCTTCAGAGGAAGCCGACGCGATGAGGTGATCTCATTGAAAAAGGTGCCAAATGATGCGTCTGTGAAATAAGGGAGAAGTCGAAAACCCGAGGACGGAGCCCTCTTCACATCCGTTGATTTGGGGGATATACAAGTTCACTGCTAATAGCGGTCGTTCGGAGAGGTCAAACAATTGCCATGGGTACGACTGTCGGTAGTTGTTGCAAGAGTGCACTCAGAAAAGAAAATCGAACGATGGTGAGAACGGCCTTTCTAGTACATGCGTCATCATACCTTCTACGTGCAGGCGGGGCGTGTCTGAGGAGCGGAGGTGTTTTTGAAGCACCTTCCATACCTAATATTGCCACTGGCAGCACACTATTTGCCGGAAAAGCGTCACCTATCGTCTAATTGGATGCCAGATCCTCTTTGCTACTCATGCATAAACGCCAGTTTTATCTCAGTTTTACCTCAAAGGCGATCTCAGGATGAGTTCAGTTGGCTGAATCCTTCAAGAAAGTAGGGTCGAGTTGTCTACGAAAGTCGCAGATTTCCCATTCTCCCGGCTCAGAGATTGCGCACGACGGGCTTTGCAACCCTGCTGTGCTCTTTCCACTATCCTTCTCTCACTGGCGTAGCAAAGCCGAGTCAAACTGATCAATCCCCCAGCTAGCTGTTTCAAAAGGGGGATCACTCTTCCTTTTTCTTTCAAATGGCGCCTACTTTCGCCTCAGTGCTCTCATATTCTTGGCTGAGAACCAGACCGTTTTATTCTGAGGCGTGCCTTCAAGCCTGATAGGATCGTATACGGTTTGGTGACTGCGCATGTGATATTAACTCATGTTGCTGGCAATCCTGTTCCGATCCCTGGATAAAATTCCTACCGAGACCATTTCAATTCTCTCCTCGTACGTTGATCAACCGGCCACTGAATTGCACAGGCTTCTACTCTGTCTGGCCCTTGCGAAGTATGAGTAGGCAAGACTTGGCTTCATGCCGCTATGTAGCACTATTTTAACTTCGGAGTAAAATCATTCGCTCAGCGAATTGGCTTTGCCGACTAGCATAGCCTGTGCGTGGAAGCGACTGGAGGTGTTATACAACATCCTTACTGGTGGGCTTGGTTATTACCATCTCGGAGGCGTCGGGCTAACCATTGTAGAGTAACACTGGTGTCATATTGACATGATACGATGTGATGTGATATGATAATAAATTGATTCCAAACGACTGCAAAGGAGTGCCGATCGACTATGAGCTTCAACTTAATTTTCACAGAGCTTTGCTACTATTGCGGAAAGGATTACCGACCTGAAAACATCCGTAATTTTGCGATAAATTTTTTTGAACTCTTTAGGGATATTGTCGTGCTTTTCAGTTCGCTGTAGAAGTTATAGGTCTGAAAAACAACGTGAGCGTAAAAAACTGGCGAAAGTAGACAAGGAAATGTGCATTTTTTGAAATTGCTGACCTTATTCACAATTGGATCTTCATGATTACCTCGAATTACAAATACGCTCTTGTACATCACTACCTTCAGAAGAAGGACGAACATTAGTACCTGGAGAGCATATGATTTATAGATTTTCTTAGAACCTGAAAAGTATTGCTAAGGGAAGTCTGTGGGTATTCATTGACGAATCGGTGAGCTATTCAGCTGGCAGAGCATCCGTACAGAGCGTAGGACTTTAACCTATTAAAATATGGAAATTTCATTCCCTTAAAAGGCAGAGTTCATAATAAAAAGAAAGGACGCTCATGTTTTTCGGGGGGGGGGTGGAAGGACACTCAAAGCATGGCCGATTGTAGGTGGCGACTAGAGACAAGCCAGCAGAGGGAGGAAACGCCAAGGCAGAACCCATTATTGCTCCTCACATGTTCCCCTCAGGATTCCCTGGCCTTTGAGGCTTACGATTAGTCCCAAGCACAGTAACTGATTAACTCACTTGGAGGTTGTCTCACCATGGACGGACACGAACGGGACAGGACATGAATGCCAAAGACAGCTACTAAAAACTGGTCAGAATGTTGCAGAGGATTGAGGACAAAACTTATGAAAACCAACCTAGAATCTTGCAGAAACGGGGACCCCTTTTTGCCTCGTCATTCGCGCATTAGGTGTCTTATGGGTGAAGACTTTATCGGTGGTAATGCTCTCTTTGCTAGGCGGTAGGGCCAGACCGAAGAGGTTAGGTGGGCAACGGCCATGGGGCGGCGTGGAGACGTCATGCTAGGATCGGCGGGGGCAGATCGTGTCAGTTCCCACTGTTAGGGTGCTCCCTGTCATTCCACTTAAAAAGTTTCCCTCCTTCGATCTCCGACTTTATCGTCAATTTTCTTCGAGATATGTAGAATATGCGATATATATGGTATAAAGGCTATCTAGCATGGTACTTAAAATCACAAAGGCGGTACTTTTGCTCGCCTTCACTTATCATCGTGTGGCTTAAACAAATACGCCTTCGAAAATCTAATATTTTTGATTGGAATTCTAATGTGTGGTATTGAAGGAAAATGTGTGGTATTGACGTCGAAACGAACAAAATCGAGAGCTGCGAGGCAAACTACATACTTATAATCAAGTAAAATGAGTATAACCTCTGTACTATGTCGACCTCTGTCGACATAATCTCCGAGGAAAAGGGTTGGTGTTTCAGGAGGCCATCCATTCACATGAAACCATCTCCAGATGTCACTGTATTGGCCATGGATATCTCCATAGATGACGATTGGCACGGATAACTACAAAAGTTTTGATTGTGCATATTAACTTAGAAAATGTCATAAACCCTTTTTGTAAAACACTCGCCTCAAGGAGTGTCGGCTCTTGTGAAAACACATCGTAAGCCTTGGCAAGAATGGCTATCATTATGTCGTAATCCCAGTCTATTTCACATGGACCGAGTCGAATCACCTTGAACAGTAAAAAAATGTGCATTGATGGGTTTATCAGAGAACAAACGATTACAAAAAGCGTCGCAATATTTTCTGCAAGCCGCGTAAATTTCTTGCATGTTTTACGAAAACCCTGACTCATTTTCAAAAGCTATATGTAATCTTTCCTAGTTCCTGGCAGGCTGGTTTTCCATGTCCGCGCATGTCTGTCATGTTCGTGCTCATTTATTTGATGTTCCCTATTCTAAATGCTATGAAGTCCATGTTTTCGACGTGCTGATCAGTTAATCCACTTTGAGGGAGGACCAACTCAATTGAGCTTCGGACGAGAATTAAGCTGCAGCAAATGCCAGAATCAACCGACTCCCCAATACGACACCCCTCCCAGCCCCCACCGCCACCCTTGCCATCGCGACTGTTTCTATATGTAGCATTTGATTCCAAGACCAGTCGACACACCTACGTCCGCCCATGTTTCTCCTACAAAACGGCCGCTGAGTGGAGGTGAGGGTAGGGAGTGGGGGAAAGGAGGTGATAAGTTTGGTACACTGAATTGGCAAAAATTTTATCTAGTTCACGGAACTTCATAGGAACTTTCACCACCTTCGTCACAAAACCCGTTTGAATAGCGACCCATTTTGAAGACCTCCGGTCACACTGCTCCAAACATCATTAACCTCGCTCAACCCCCTCCTCCCGAAACCACAAATGCACCCCTCAATGCAATAGTGCGAACTGACGGTTGACCCCGGCTAGTGATAGTGAGGGCAAAATTTTTGTAATTTTTTGCTGTTGTGTGCACTATGTTTCTGCTATAGGTGGGGATCTTAGAACCGTCGGCCATTCAAAGTGCGAATATGACACAGAAGTATGAACCATAGGTGGGGTCCTACGATCCGACTTAGAATTGAAGTCCAATGCACAAATGGACTCTGTGCCCCATCACTAACCACATCGTCGGTGGACATAAGTGAATGTTCAGTACATTTTGGAAATAATCATTGTCAAACCGCACCGCCGCCAGAATATCCTCCATTTTTGAGCAGTCATCCACTCCGATTAACATTGCTTGGTCCTTAGATTCTCGGTACGTGATGCGGTCACTGGTTTGAGTAAGTGAGCACCTTAAAATTTTGTTTGAAGTGATTGTTTGTGGAATCCCTTTTGAATGTCTGCTCAGTGAGGCACGAAATTCGGAAGAATGGGGTTGAAGGGAGCGATTACGATAAGGAACTTTCGCATCGGGAGAGTACCTCTGCCACACGGAGTAGTTACTTGGCAGCGATGTGTAGCGTTTCCAAGGCAAAAGGTGCTGTGGTTGCTGAGCAGGACCTCTGCAGCACTGCGCCTCCAACAGCGTTACGCCCACTTGTTCAGATGATGATTTGAGCGAGCTGTCTGTCTACTGTTTTTTGGGAGATCGTTTCCTTTTATCGGCTGTATCTTCCAACTTGCCCATGGTATTTGAATTGCAAGTCCGAGGATCGAAATGATGTAATTCTTTACGCTTTGCAGGTGAATTTAGTGCGAGATGTAAAACGTAGCGGCCAGGCAATGGAAAAAAAGGTAAAGAAACCGAGCAGGCCGAAAACCAAAGCCCTCGCGTACAGTAGCAGACCCAAGCGAAACAACATGACTTGTGGAAGAGTTCACCGGTTTTGGGCGGGGCCAATGCTGCATCCAAGGGCCTTGGCGCCTCAGCTTGTCAAATGCCTCGAAAGTTGCGTACCTTTTTCCGCTTGTGTACCGCTGCAATTTTTTTTCAGGAAAAAGGTTGTTTTCAATTGGAAATCTCGGGCTTTGCCTTTATGTACTCTGGGCAACCCGCTTCCGTTTTTTATAACCTTACAATTTCACCTGCCCTCTTCCTAGATAGCTACAACGTCTACTGGACACACATATCACGCAAGAACAAGCGGTTTACTGAACATTGCGTTTCACCTGTATCACCTGTCGTCCCGTTGATCGTCGATTTGCTCGAGCGGGCGCCAGCAACGTCTCCATTCGTCCCTGTCGCGTGCTAGAGTGGTCCAGTGGATCCTCCTTGCTCGAGGGACACGAAGTCCATTCATTCCTTTCGTTCAGAGCTTTCGTGAAGAAGTCTGACCATCGGGCCGGCGGTCGTCCAGGTGTTCGTTTGACGTCCCGAGGGATCCAGTCGGTAACCGCTCTGGTCCAACGGTCATCGCAAAATCGCATGACGTGTCCGGCCCACCTTATCTTCGATTCCTTGGCGAAAACGGCAGCGTCCCCGCCGATCTTCGATCGTTGGCGGTCGGTCTAGGAGACAAAATTGCGTATACGAAAGAGACCTTTCACCAAGTTCGTATAATTCATTTTGTTTTCATAGAACTTTCGCCAAAACCCCGTCAGAAAACCCCTTTTTACGACCCTGGTTCGCACATTCCCACAAATAACACTCCTTGCTCAGCCCCAAATGCGATCCCCTTCCCTAAATCACAAATGTGATCCCCTAGTTTGAATAGCGCGAACGAACGGTTGACCCTGTTTCCAACGTGTGTTTTTTCTTCTGAAACAGAAAATTCTACTAATGAGTCACTGAGCGCCGAGGGAACAAGTGCAGAGGCCTTATGGCGCAATGGTCGAGATAGATGTTACTGTCGTGTTTTGCGGCAATTTGGAGGCGCCAACATAATTGCAAAAATTTGTCATCACGGAGGATCGAACTTTGGACCATTTCTTCCCCGCTGTTTTGACATTCCTGGGGCGTTCAGGAAAAATGGACCATGGTTCTGTGTTCCTCACATGAGCCTCTACAACATGCAGAAAACCATTTTGAAAAAACGCTCCATGTCCTGAAAGACCTCCCTTGTTAGCTACCCTTGCTTACAGCTTGACCTTGCTCATGAGAAGCCCTCTCATACTCACCGAACGCATCTTCACTGAATACAATGGGATGGATGGGCTCGATACATCACAACCTCTTGATATTGTGTTTAATATGTAGCCCACTTCAGCGGGAGACATCCTTGGTTGAATGACCAATTGTGTGAGATCGATCTGAATCACGATTAAATAGAGTCTGAGAAACTAACGGTATCACTCATCGAAAAATAAAAATACTTGGCCGAATTGGAACATACATGAATTTTTTGACTGTATTTGGTAGGGTTATCAACACATTTCAGGTGCTTTCCACAGTTAATAATTAAGAGTATTAACTGAAATAGTAGTAAAAGAGCTATAATGCTTAGGACTATGTATGCTACTAGTGACAGTAAAACTTACCAGTTTAGCGATAATGATTAAAAGTATTATACAATGTGCTATATACATTGTACTATTGGGAGAGGTGCCAGATAACTTGTAGAAGGAAAGAGTGTTACATGCATTTGTAGCACAGCAACTAAATGAAGTAAATATTAATTTTGGTGAAGACTACGCGATGTAATCCTCTTGATCAATACTCTGCCAACCTCCTCAAAGACAGTACACATGAGGCCAGGAGGGCAGAGCGGGTTCGATTTGACGTTTGAAGACGGACCCCAGGATTAGCTTGACCAGTAGGAAGGATACCGTGAGGGGAATTCCGGGGTCCGTACCTTCATAGATCATGCCAGCTTCGTTGCCCAAATTGCGCGATTAGGGCGCTAATCCATTACGAACCTGCAACCATCGACCCTCGCTGCAACGCTTCCCACCCACCACTACCGATGTACAGATCAGCGTGCTTTCTGGAATGCATCCAAGGTTACTGTAGGTTAAGGCCTTAATTTTAGCGTTTCCCATAATTTCTTTGCTTTCCTTCCCACTTTCAGCTCATTGCGCAGCTCAGCCATCACTACGCAGCGCTCTCTTTCACTAGTTTTATTTTATCTCGGGATTTGCCTTTAAACGTCACTGGCGGACCAGTCCACACACAAGGGGGTCGTTCACGGCACTCCGCAGGTTTTCAAAAAGTTTCTTGGCTACCACGGTTTCGTGCCAATAGGATCCCAATCATGAACACGACAACCGTTTTTGACATTTGACCCCATTTTTGGCAATCAGGAAACACCAACT